AGAAAAGCCACTTTATGATCTGTAACTTCGTTCATAGATAAGATACAGTATTCTAAATAATACCGTTTTGTAGTACCCGTGGAGCTCTATCATACCTAATTGAGTTGGGTCGAAAACATTGATTCTGAAAGGAGTTATGGCAGGGCCCGCGAAGGCCCGGCAAAGGCCCGGATTACAAGTATGATTATCCCTATTCCCATCAAACTTGAACTTTCAGAATGCCTCCAACTTGCCCAAACGACTTCAAAAGTCAATTGAATTCTCCAGAAACTGTTCGGCTATTGTCCTATATAAAAGACTCAATTGTCCTTCCATTACACCTATTTGGAGCATACTGTATTTTGAAAAAGACCCCAAATAATATGCATTCTATCAAATTTACACTTTTTAATTTTCATTTTTGGAACGTTATGTTTGATTTGACCTATGTGTTTTCCATACCGATCCCTATATTTCCAATGCCGGCTGGTGTGATGAATGGTATTTTAACAAAATGGGGAGTCCCGTCTACTATACAGCTGCTCCTTATGGTCACTGCAGTGAGCTGTGAGATTTGAAAAAAGTTAAATTTTCAAAAAAAAAAAATTCAGCCTTGACAAGCCAAAAACAAATATTTATATTAAAAATTAAATTTTCAACATTTTCAGACGTTAGTGTCTCCACCTTAATGATCTTTGAAAACCGATTCTACCTTCTAAACTCCAAGAAAAAATGGTGGAAACGAATTCGTCTGTTTTGGATGGCGTCAAATTTTTTATTTGGTATACTGTACCAAATTCCAGTTATTCTAGAAGTTCCAGATCCGAAATATGCAAAGGAAGTGGTGATAAATGTAAGTTCATTTTTGGAAATTACAAGAAATCGAAATTCCCCAATTTTCAGAGTCTCCCATGTGTCCCTGAATTCTTGTATACTGCTGATATTGTACTTCCAAGTCTCAACGACACTACCGTAATACTATGTACAGTTATCTATGTACTTGTAATTTTTGGGCAATTATTTGTATTTGCAACTATAATTATGGTCCAATTATCCACTAATTTTGGAGCTAGTACACTTTCCGGAACCACGAGACGACTTCAAAAAAGACTACTGAAGGCGTTAATCTGGCAAACGGGAATCCCATTTTTGTATCTTGTCTTGCCAGGATGTTACTCGGTTTTTTCAGTTTATACAGAGTATTTTAATATAAGTAAGAATTTGGTATTTTTGAAATGTGAAAACATTGAATTTTTCAGCGCTGAACAATTTAGTGGCTACTGTAGCATCTCTAAATGGATTCGTAAGCACATTATCGATTATTCTGATCCATCAACCCTACAGGAATACTGTAGTTTTTTGGAGGAAAAATAAGAAGAGTGAAAGTGCAAAATGGATTAATCCAGTGATTTCTACACATACGCAATACTGATTTTTGGGGTTTTCAACAATTTTTTAATAGCTTTTTGATTATAATTTTTTAAATAATAATCACTTTTCAAGATTTACAATCTAAATTGGTGCAAGAATATTTTCAATCCGAAAGCAAAAAAAAAGGTTTCCCACTTAAAAAACTTTGAGCTCAAATATCTCGTTTTCTCTAAAAAATCAAAAAGTGGTCAACTGACAAAATGTTTATCATAACATCAGCAACATTTTTTCAGTTGACGACTTTTGGCTATCTATCACAGGAGCCGAGATGAATTGGCTCAAAGTTAAAGAAACACAAATTTCCAAGTTCAAAAAATTGAAAATTCAGATGGTATTTCAACGTGACGACAAAAATATCTACTTCTTACTAAGGAAACTTTTCTGTGTGTCTGTGTGTGTGTCCGTCCGGACATTAACTTGAATAACTCAAAGGCGCGTGGGACTCCTATAGTGGTGTGTGGTATGTAGTCATGGACTGCCGAGCGCTTCATGTCTATGGTGTCCTGGGCCTTCTAGCTAATCGGGAACCTATAGGGTTGAGAATCGAAAATTTCAAAATTATGTTGAAACTCACTAAAACTTCAGGGAATTCTCAAAAACGGTTTTCAAGACCCGGTCGATCGTCCGGACATTGTTGCACGAGTCTTCAAACTCAAAATCGAAGAATTAAAACAAGACCTGTTCATCAAGCACATTTTTGGAGAAGTAGCTGCCTGGATTTTTGTCATCGAATTCCAAAAGCGAGGTTTACCTCACATGCACCTTCTGATGATTTTGAAAAACGAATGGAAGCCTAGGTAACTTTGAAATCATGAAAATAAAAATTCAATTTTTGAAAATTTCAGAACGGCTTCTGAAATCGATGAAATAGTTTCTGCTGAGCTTCTGGATCCAGAAGAGGATCCAGAACTTTTTGACATTATCTCCAGTGTGCAAATGCACCGCCCATGCGGTATCCATAACCCAGATTCATCGTGCATGGTTGGTGATGCGTGCTCAAAACATTTTCCAAAGGACTTTCGTGAAAGAACATCTGTTGAAAACGATGGATTCCCGATGTACAGACGACGGGACGATGGGAGAACAATATCTTTCAAAACAAAAAATTCTGGAGTTGTTAAACTGGACAATAGAAGTGTGGTCCCATACAACAAGTACCTTTCCAGAAAGTTCAGAAGTCATGCAAATTTGGAAATTTGTGGGAACGTCGGAGCAGTTAAATACCTTTACAAATATCTTTACAAAGGTACATCTCGAGCTGCTATCCACATCTACACTGATAAAAATGGAGTCGAGCACAGGACGGAGAATGAGGTCAACAGCTACTTGGATGGTCGATATGTCTGTGCTCCAGAGTCTCTTTGGCATATCTTCGACTTCCGAATGTCCGACAGAAGCACCCCAGTTATGCAGCTCAAAGTGCATCTGAAGAATGCCCAAGGAGTCGTTTATAAAGAAGGAGAAGAAAAAGATGCAGCAGAGAGAGGACAGCTCTGAGAAACAACACTAACAGCGTGGTTTGCTGCAAACAAAAGATGTTATGATGAGCTTGAATCGGCTGGAATGATTCCAGAAGACGTTGTGGACTGCCGAGGTATCTATTATGTTGAGATGCCAGAACAGTTCCAATTCACCAAAGGAAAATGGACTCTTAGAAAAAATGCTACACGATCGATCGGAAGAATGCATTTCGTGTCTCCGAGAGATCAGGAAAGATTCGCATTGAGAGTAATGCTCCTAAACGTCACTGATGCCAAATCTTATGAAGATTTGCAAACCGTTGGAGGTGTCTTTTATGAGAAATTTGTGGATGCTGCTAAAGCTGCCGGATACTTGACTGAGGACATTTTCTATGAAAAGTCGTTGGAAGAAGCAGCGTCATTTCATTCTGCACCACAACTGAGAGGATTCTTCGTCACTCTGCTGATGTTTGGGGAAATTCATAATGCTGAAGAGTTATGGTACAGGTGAGAAATTTAAAAAATTTCAATTTTGAAAATCAACATTTTTCAGATTTGTGGATGACTTCTCAGAAGACTTTTTATACAAGCACTTCCCAAAAGAAAAAGCCGAAGCTCTTGCTTATAATGATCTTATTGATAGAATGAATGCTATGGGAGAAAAGCTGGATAAATGGATGAGCCTTGGATACGAGAGAATCATTCCAGACGACGTCATTGATTTTGATTAATGCTCAAAAGAAGGAGATAGGATGAGATCAACGTTGGTAGCAGAACAAGAAGAAGTTGTGAAGGCAGTTTTGGATGCTGTGAAAAGTGGAGGAGGTCTTATTTACGTGGATGGACCAGGAGGAAGCGGCAAAACATATGTATACCTTACTCTCATCAACATCCTCCAAGGTATGCATCTGAAAGTCATCCCAATTGCGTGGATTGGGATCGCTGCATCTCTATTGCCTCATGAAAGAACGGTGGCTTCCTTCTTCCATTTTAACATCAAGCATGGATGTAAGACCTCAACCATCCATATTCAATCCGCGGAAGCCAAATACCTCGCTGAACATGATGTCGTATTTTGGGATGAGGCTCCTATGAGCCCCAAATCGTCACTTGAAACAGTGGATCAGCTTTTTCGTGACGTCACCAAAATCGAGCAACCATTTGGTG